ATGGTAAGCTGTTACCGAAGGCAGCGATGGCGTTCCATAGTTACGGGCGTTACGGGTTAACGTACAAAGATTAAAGTACACACCTACCACCGACGTACCTCTCGACAATTAATTGTAGGGCACTTATAGGCCTAGGTGTAACCTAAGTAAAAGTTTAAATTTTTATACTATAAGCGAATAACTTACATTAATTATACTGTATTTTACACATAGAAATTGCAGTTTATTACGACGATGGCAACTAAATGGGGAATTTGCAGTGCTGGTAAAATTTCCAATGATTTTGTCGTAGCCCTTCGCACGTTGGATGCTGAAGAACACCAAGTTGCTGCTGTAGCTGCACGGTCACTTGAGAGTGCCCAGGCATTTGCAGCCACCCACAAGATCGAATCGGCCTACGGGTCGTATGATGAATTAGCCATGAGTGAAAAAGTCGGTGAGTGAAATGATGAAATCTGCCAAAATCTTATGCTTGGCTAGGCCTGGGACTAGTTGGTCATAATGCTAGGCTAGGTAGGCCTAGGGCTAGGCTATAATTAAAGGCCTAGGCCCTAGCTAGGCCTCATCATATGGCTAGGCAATAGATAGGCCTGGTACTAGGGGATTATGACCGGTTGAGCCGCCGACAAGTTGAGCCGCCGGTCATTTCTATGAAACGCCAAGCGCGTCTCAGTGAATGTAGTGCGTTAATTGCGGCGTATTTCAATTAACTTATTCGTTATTTGTACTATTTTGTTAAATATTTTTGGGGAGTATTTCAATTAATTTACTCGTTTTACTGTTTTATTAAATATTTTTGGAGTAGGCCCATATCAGCCGCTACCTATAGCGGCTGCCCACCAGAACGGCCGCCAATGCGTGTATGGAACGCCGATGATGCATTCACAATTAATAATACAATACCGCTCGCTAAATACAAAGCTTTCGATTCATCTAGGCCCAATCAACTCGGCCCTGCAGGTTAACTCGGCCCTCTTTTTCATTGCTGCGAAGCAGCCAATTCATATTCTTGACACCAATTTGACCTCTGAAAGGTCATTGTTTGTCAAAAAAAAAATGGCTAAAGACAACTGAAAAGCGGAGTTTCCTTCTTTCGTTCTGCCGGGTAAAATCATTTACTTTAGGCGACGTTTGTAGATTACAGTAACCTACTTGCACCAACGTCTGCATGTCGCGACGCTGGAGTACTATTCAGCGTTTTTACTATATTTCTAGGTTTCCTATTTCTACGTTTAATCGGCTCATGTCTCAGCCACAATATTTTGAGGCCAATATTATTTACGAACCCAGTTAAACTTATTTACTAGCCTATTTCAACGTGCTATTACATTTAGGCGACGCTTGTTGTAGACTGGCATAGTGTTTTCGGAAATAAATACCATTTTATACACATGCGCAGATTGATTCGCCAGCAGCGAGTCATCGCCAGCAGCAGCGAGTCGCCAGCAGAGAGATTTCACTGCAGCAAAACACGGTACCAACGCTGTTCTAATATAGACAATGGGTCGTGCTCATATTATTTGTTATATTTTTATTATTCATTATTTTCACTTGACTCGCATAATTAATTTTGTGCGAAGAACATTTTATGCAATTGTACTTCGCAGCACTTCACTTGCAATTTGCAATTTCTAGTTTTATATATAGGCCTACACACTATATAAAACTACTTAAAAAATAACTATTGAAAAAAATAAATAAATAGAAGTCACATTAAGAATTGTAAACATCATAAAAATATAATAAAACCATTGCTTCAATCAAACCTTTCGATAGATTGAAGTTCTCTCCAATAAAGTATGGTATTCATTTCTTCTTATTATTATATATAAAGCTAGTTTGGATTTTATCTATTATATCATAATTTATATATAGGCCATATATATTTAAAAATGCATACATATATATAATTTATATAAGAATAGGTTGAAAATTGGTTTCCTCCACTGAAGTATTTCTAAAGTTTCTACATATGATTTTCGTTTCTTAATTATATGTGAGGTCTCACCACGAAATGAGACGCATCGTTGTGAAATCATATTGAGATATTCCCCAAAACAGGCCAAAGTCAATATTTCTACAAAATTTTGATTTTAATGTTTTTGAATAACTTGATACTTATATTTTATGATTGTATACTTTGTAAATGAATTTTCTTGCTAAAACAGTGTTTTCTACACATATTCTGTAAGTCTAGTCATGTTATTTTTTACAGGTTAGTTTATCTTGGAGGTCGATTTTCTCAAAACATGGTTCTTATACACCTAAATTTTAAATGCTCACATCTCTGTATTTACTTATGTAGGGAAGCCATTCAAAGACCAAATGAAAGCCTATAATGTGATCTACCCAAGTTTAATATAAACTCAATTTTTGAATTTCTAACCATGAGACTCATTTTGTGGTGAGATCTCACATATATACTCAAATATGTACACGATTCATGCCATCGATTCAATCGTTTGTTGCTCAGTAAAAAGCAACAATACTAACATTGTTTCATTATTGATTATATAGGCCATTATATCATGGTTTATATATAGGCCACATATATTTAAATATGTATACATATATACTGTAATTTATATAAGAATAGGTTGAAAATTAGTTTCCTCCACTAAATTGTTTCTAAAGTTCATACATATGATATTCGTTTCTTAATTATTTATACTCAAATATGTACACGATTCATGCTATCGATTCAATCGTTTGTTACTCAATAAAAAGCAACAATACTAGAGTATCATTCCTGATGATGACATAATTAATGTCGAAATATTGAATCCCAACACGATGGCGTGTATTTCAATACTTGGAGTATGTATTATACTTTCTTATCTGAGATTAATCAGTGGACCTTTCGGTTACTAGAGTAGTAGGTTAAAAGATAACGTTACCACGGAGACGTTAATTGATATCTTTTGTCTTATCTGATGAAGCAAGCATGTTCATTGTCTAGCCAGACTGAGTTCATAACTCCCTACTCCAGTAGTTGTGTAACGAAAACATTTTGTTTGAAATCGTGTATGAGAAAACATTTACTGAAAAAATAGAGTAGGTCCTATGCCAGTTTATTATTATATTTTGTCCGATCAGCAGCGTTCATTTGGTTATTGGGAATAATTAGTTAATTAATGAGAGCTCAATAAATATCAAACACAGGTTTTAAACTTTTATTTAATACATCGTTACAGTATATAAGTATCAGATTCACTAATTCATGTCATCTTTAAATAGGTATCAATTTGCCAGTACTAAGTTGCCTAGTAATAATTAATTCAGTGAGAAACGTTCTCACAAGTAGGGTCCAGTGATACTCTTGGGAGAATAAAGAAAGTTTTGTAAGCCGCCAATTCAAGGATGTTATCGGAGACGAAGTCTTTGTACGCCGCCAATTCAGGAATGTCATCGGAGACAAGGAAAGAATGTCAAAT